TACGGACAGTTTTAACAGTGTTTTAAGTTCGCCCTGACCTTCCTTCTCTCCCTGGCCACCTTCTTTCTCTCCCTGGCCACCCGGGTAACCATAAGATAGAGCCATAAGCTTCCTGGGGGTAAATTTATCTTGAACGGAGCGACTCATTCATGGAATATGTTGGTGATGGGGCAAGCGAAACCGTCTTTTTGGGGGTAAATATTGAATGTGATGGGTCGTAATGGGTGTGTGTGTATGTGTGTGTGTGTGTGTGTTACTCACCTAGTTGTGGTTGCAGGGGTCGAGTCATAGCTCCTGTCCCCGCCTCTTCACTGGCCGCTACTAGGTCACTCTCCCTGCACCTTGAGCTTTATCATACCTCTTCTTAAAGTTATGAATGCATCCTGCCTCCACTACATCACTTCTCAAACTATTCCACTTCCTGACGACTCTATGACTGAAGAAATACTTCCTAACGTCCCTGTGACTCGTCTGAGTCTTCAGCTTCCAGTTGTGACCCCTTGTTTCTGTGTCCCCTCTCTGGAACATCCTATCTCTGTCCACCTTGTCTATTTCCCGCAGTATCTTGTATGTAGTTATCATGTCTCCCCTGACCCTTCTGTCCTCCAGTGTCGTCAGTCCAATTCCCCTCAACCTTTCCTCGTACGACATTCCCCTGATCTCTGGGACTAGCCTTGTTGCAAACCTTTGTACTTTCTCTGACTTCTTGACGTGCTTGACCAGGTGTGGGTTCCAGACTGGTGCTGCATACTCCAGTATGGACCTAACATACACAGTGTACAGTGTCTTGAACGATTCCTTATTAAGGTATCGGAACGCTATTCTCAGGTTTTCCAGGCGCCCGTATGCTGCAGCAGTTATTTGGTTGATGTGTGTCTCCGGTGACGTGCTCGGTGTTATGGTCACCCCAAGGTCTTTCTCCCTGAGTCTGTAGTCTTTGTCCACCTAGCCTATACTCTGTCTGCGGTCTTCTTTGCCCCTCCCCAATCTTCATGACTTTGCATTTGGCAGGGTTGAATTCGAGAAGCCGGTTTCTGGACCACATGTCCAGCCTGTCCAGGTCTCTTTGCAGTCCTGCCTCATCCTGTGTGTGTGTGTGTGTGTGTGTGTGTGTGTGTGTGTGTGTGTGTGTGTGTGTGGTGTGTGTGTGTGTGTGTGTGTGTGTGTGTGTGTGTGTGTGTGTGTGACTGTCTGTACATATGCGTGAGAGAGAAGGAGATGTATGGGACTATAACAATTATTTTTAACAATGCCTGGTCCACGGCCGGGCTCCTGGAGTAGGAAAACTCTCGGAACTCACCGAATGTATATCAAAAGTACACCATATACGTGATATTTCTTGTTTTAGTATCTTTCAGTATACTATTACTAGACTACTGACCTATTATTTCTACTAAACAATAGTTCTGAACTATACACAAATACCCCGAACATAGGAGAGAGAAGCTCACGTCGACATTTCGGTCTAACTTGTATATTGTTCCAGTCAAGTTATTGTGCCTTTTAGTTCCTTCCGATCTATATTCACAACCTTCCCCCCTTTTCAATACATAAAAACACCGAACCATAACTGTGTAATTGAAGGAACTCTGGAGGCACAGATGTAGTAACAGTAAGTCTATCTTGATTCCCTTCTCCCCTCTTTCACTCACGGCAGGTTCCTTGGTGCCAGTGAGATGATCCTTGTTTTGGCAATTAGACCTGTTCTACCCTTCCTTAAATCAAATCTGATTGCTGCACGTCCTGATCTATTGCTTACATCTAAGATCCTTCGCATTTTTTACATGTCCTCATTCTAATTTTGGCATGATGAAGGATCCTGAGTATAAAGCGAGAGAAATAAGATAACACCATTAAAATGCAGTATTAAAAGAAACTATCTTTTAAACTTTATTTACAAAACGTCATGAGATATACAGTAGATAGAACATAACAAAGTTATATACTGGCTCCACTGTAACGCAAGTGAAGCAGGAAAGGAATAAAAAAAAGTTACCCTTTACAATTATTTCAGAAAAACAAAAATATATTATAGGGTAATATTCTACTTTTGACAATAGCTCGACCAGTTCAGTTTTTTTTTTTCACCGAAATGCCAAAATTAAATTTTCAAACTCTACAAAAATGATTGGAATATGAATCCTTAGGCTCACAATGAATATATAAAAACTTAGTTTTTAATAACATTCATATTTCGTATTGACTAGCGTCCATAATTCATTAATAACTACGGGCAGCACTCATTCAAAAAATAATAACTACTATGACATCATTTAAATAAATGTATATGTACAGAGCTGACGTCACAGTGTGGGAAGAACATACACATGGACCAAAACATCAAGAAAATATATATATATTTTTATATAACAATTCCCTATCATAAATATGAAGAATGTCATAATCACCATCACTGTACAGCGTCGCTAAGGTATTAAACTTATCACTGTACACTGTACACTGTACACTGTACACTGTACACTGTACACTGTCAGTAATGTAAAAACTCTGCAAAGAGATGTAATTAATATGAATTGGAAATATATGGAATAACACTGGAAAGATTTGTAAGACTATATACATCCAGGAGCCAGTTGTTTCTAAGCCAGCAGAGCTGGTTCCCTGAAGGCCAGTGAAGTCGGTTCCTTGGAAGCCAGTAGCGCTGTTCCAGGACATACAGTGGTGCTAGTTCTCTGCACTAAGTGGTGCCAGTTCTCTGCACAAAGCGGTGCCAGTTCTGTGCACCTGAACCCACTAGTAAAGACACACTTAAATATTTTAATATTTACAGAAGTCTGTCTTCAACTCCTGGAGAATTTTTCCTCCAAACCAAACACACGTTTTCAAAGTAACTCTGGTGCAAAGTCATGCCTTTGTAACTATTTAAAACAAAATGTAAATCATAATTTTATTAGTTATAGAAAAGGCATTTCCAATGTCTACATGCCTAAATTAGTGAATCCAAGGAATCACTGCTCATTTAAAACTATCCTCAGTTCGCATCGTGAATCTACAAATACATATTTGACGGATGCAGCAGTTTCTCCCGGAATGACTGTCCCATTGTATAATGCAAGGCTGTCAAGCAAAGCCATACATTCCTTCGTGTGATGTAGGAGGGTACTGTTTTACATATCAGGTCACAGGAGGACCTGACTAGCCAGTGGCCATAGCCAGAGTATGGTAAATTATCACTGGCTAGTTAGGTCCTCCTCCTGAGACCTGATATGTGAAATAATACCCTCGTACAATATACTCGCTCCTACAGAGCTTTATGAAATGAGTCATAAGTGTGACTTAATAAAGCCACAACACAGTGGGAGGTGTTGTTCCAGTGAAACTTTGTTCTGGTGAGTGCCTTTCCTTTACTGCTGTCGGCAGTACTGAAGAAAAGGTACACTTCAGAATCCACACATGTGGATTCTGAAGTAATGTGAGGCTGATGAATAGCATAAGTCTCCCTATCAGAAAAGTTTTGAAGTATACAACAATCAAAACAAATTGAGACCACGTCTTTATTTCCTTTTTTTTCTTGTATTAACACATTGCCCGCTGCTCCTCGGTAGCAATAAACATACTGAGAGTTGCAAGTCACTTTTCATTAATATTTAATTGGAACCTTGCTTTATAACCCTATTCGGGTGGGTTTAGCACTTCCCCTTGAACATTAATGTAATAAACACATAAATAAGGTGCTGTTATTGTCCTGTGGAGCTACGAGTGTTGTGGAGACTCGTCAGTGGCACGATTCTGAAGAACATAACAAAAATATGATGCAACAGTGAGGTAGACCATGTAAGTGACACTGTACACAGCTCATTGCTACAAGACACACACACACACACACACACACACACACAACCACACACACCACACCACACACAACACACACACAGCACACACACACACACACACACACATACACCAGAGATGGAATATAGCTTGAGAAGGGAGGAACTACAAATATCCCCCAAAGAGAAAAATCTTGGAGTGAACATCACACCCAACATATCACCAGAGGCCAATAAATCGCATTGCATCTGCAGCATTTTCCGAGGCTAGCTAATCTCAAAACTGCCTTCAGAAACGTTAACAAAGAATTATCTAGGAGTCTGTACACATGTCAGACATACCATGGAGAATGCACCAGCATAAAGCCCTCACATGGTCAAGCGTCACCTCAAGAAGGTCTGTGGCTATTTACACTAAGACTGGAGAAGAAAATAATGGAATTGATCCTGACGACTCTAAATAGAAAAGGACTAGGGGGAGACATGATTACATCATTCTAGATACTCAAAGGATTTGTCTGAATAGATAACAGACTCGTAGATATGAGAGGCAATATGTGAGGAACACAGATGAGTCACATGTTGTAGATAATCAGAAATACTTTTTTTTCAGTCAGGGTGATAAATATGTGGAACGAGTTAGATGGGCGAGGAGTATAGGTGAACTCAGTACACAGTTTGAAAAGTAGGTATGATAGGACCCGAGATGCCAGGCAACAATAGTGCAGGTGACTGTAGTTTAAGAGGAAGGACCAGTAGCTGAAACTCGATTTAAGTAAACACATCTCGGCGAGTAGCGCACACATACACACACACACACAACACACACACACACACACACACACACACACACACACATCAACCAAATAACTGCTGCAGCATATGGGCGCCTAGCAAACCTCAGAACAGCATTCCGACATCTTAATAAGGAATCATTCAGGACCCTGTACACCGTGTACGTTAGGCCCATATTGGAGTATGCGGCACCAGTTTGGAACCCACACCTAGCCAAGCACGTGAAGAAACTAGAGAAAGTGCAAAGGTTTGCAACAAGATGTCCAGAGTAAGAGGTATATCCTACGAGGAGAGGTTAAGGGAAATCAACCTGACGACACTGGAGGACAGGAGAGATAGGGGGGACATGATAACACATACAAAATACTGAGAGGAATTGACAAGGTGGACAAAGACAGGATGTTCCAGAGATTGGACACAGTAACAAGGGGACACAGTTGGAAGCTGAAGACACAGATGAATCACAGGGATGTTAGGAAGTATTTCTTCAGCCACAGAGTAGTCAGTAAGTGGAATAGTTTGGGAAGCGATGTAGTGGAGGCAGGATCCATACATAGCTTTAAGCAGAGGTATGATAAAGCTCACGGCTCAGGGAGAGTGACCTAGTAGCGATCAGTGAAGAGGCGGGGCCAGGAGCTCGGACTCGACCCCCGCAACCTCAACTAGGTGAGTACACACACACACACACACACACACACACACCCGATCTTTGGTTCATAAAGACACCGGTGATGGAGGCACCAGCAGTTTTACCTACAATTACACAGTTTTAAAACAAGCTTGAGAGCTCAGCGGCTGGACAATTTTATTTGAGCAATTCTGTTTAAACTTCGAAGTATTGGCACCTGAACTTATTTTTTCTCCTTTTACAGCAACCTGTGTCACATGAGAGTTTGAAGAGCCAGGTTGACCATGGAGTGACTTAATACTGCAATCATACGTTGCTTTACACTACACGAATAACCTGCACATAGGAGAGAGAACCCTGTGACGCCGTTACGGTCCGACTTGGACCATTTTGCGTATTTTTTTCGTCTTTCTCTTTGAAGACGGATAATGGCACTTCCCATATTTTTAGAGTACAGTGGACGCCCGCATAACGATCACCTTCGAATGCGTCCAATTATGTAAGTATATTTATGAAAGTGCGTTTGTACGTGTATGTTTGGGGGTTTGAAATTGACTAATCTACTTCACAATATTCCTTATGGGAACAAATTCGGTCAGTACTGGCACCTGAACATACTTCTGGAGTGAAAAAATATCGTTAACCGGGGGTCCACTGTATTTAAGGTCTTCTGTGCCTATTTAGTTAATACCATCTGGATTTATTACGGAAAATATATATTACCTGGACTCACAGAATTCTTTCTCTACCTCAGATGTGTGTGCCGTGAACCCCGTGTCGGGAGTCAGTCTGTGGCACCATGATGTAATGATTGTTTGTGTTGGCACTTGACCTCAGGTTGTTGCGACTCTGACCAATGTGTCCATAAGTGTTACTATTACTACTGACTGTCATGTTGTTGAGGTTGTTGTTGAGGTTCTGCAATGCTCCTACTGCATAGAGGTTCTGAGGAGTACTGCCAGTGTCACTAGAGTGGGTTGTCCCTGCTCCGGGTGGCATGATGCCATACTCGATGCCTCCTGTACTGCCATAGATGTTTTGAGCACTCCTAGCACTGGAGGGCACACGTAGATATGGGTTGCCATAGGCTGCAGAGTATCGTGGATCCACATTATTCAGTGGAGGTCCAGTGGAACAGCTCGAGTTGCGATTGTAGTTGAGAGGCGGAGGAGGTGGATTGTAGTCCCGTGAGTAGTCTACATACTGCACATAACCTCCACTGTTGTTATTTGCGTTTTCCTGCTTGAAAAACGAAAAAAGTACCTTTGAAATATATGTAATAATTAATTTTCAAATGTACAGTCTCCTATAACGTTTCTCTCTTGTCTTTTGAATTCTCCTAAAACAAATTTAAAGATTAATAAGTTGATAAACAAATCCGAATTAATTTGCTATAAATAAGTGTACTGCAGTACAATCCAATAGGTCAACAAATTCCGAAGTGTGAAAGTTTTTATTTACAATCTGAGTTGAAAATTAATACGCCCGCATTTACAGCCCCTCTTTGTTCCACGTTTTCGTTGGTTTTCAAGTGAGCCATTGTTCCACCCGCCCGCAAAACCCACCAGAAGGTGGAACATAATGAACAATACCTCTTTGAAGAGTTTCGAGAGTCTCACTACTCTCGGAGCCCTGCCATGGGCCGGGCGCCTCAATTTGAAGCCAACGAAAACGTGGTACATCGAAAAGAGGTGCTATATATATGCGGGGCCTCTCTATATACTTTTTTTCACTCTCCTGTGTTACTCCTCAACACAAACCTTCGGAGAAAACATGGGTTCGCTGAAGTCCCCAGCTGAGTATCTGAAGTGGTCGTGGTGTCGCCTGGCATTTGCAACAGTGGACTCATTGGTGTCCCAGTCATCGTGGGAACTATAGTCATCGTCTTCTGAGGGTGAGAGGTCACTCCCAGTGGCCGTGCGGGTGTCCACCTTGAGCACGGAGTCATGGGTAGACGACCTGTCACTGGAGCGCATACTGTGCTTCTCCAGGCCAGAATCTGTAAGGGACATGAACAGAGGTATGGTAAGCATATCTTTTAGTAACAAATTTAGATACACCCACAATGTGTTGCTCCTCTTTTTTTATACATTATAGTGTAGGATCAAATGCTGTTTCTCTGACTTATTCCATTACACAAGATGAGTTTCATACACGAGTTGAAAAACTTTAATAGGACAATGGGATATTGTTATTATTTTAAGGGGAAATGGAAAATCCATAGAGATGTCACTCAGTGTCAGGAGGAGTGAGATTTAATCAAGATCGATCTAAGGGAGAGGAGGAAAAAATCCAGCAGGTTGAAAGGACAACTCCCCTAGGAGAGAGAGATTGGGGGAGGGAAAGGTGAGTTTGTTCCCCCTCGAGGAGACTTCTCGTCAGCTGGGATCCTTCAGCTGGAGGCAACGGACGCATAGGTTAGACCATGATGTAGGCGTGGTACACCTTCAAGCGCCCTTTACCTGAATCAAGGAACTTTTCTTGAGGGGTAGGGCGATGAGAATAAAACCTAGATGAAGTGAAGACAGGCACTTCCAACCCCATACATTTTTCTTCCTGCCTACTCTTCCCCACTATGTTTTTCCTCGTGGTTTTACCACCAGCACCGGTATTTCTTGAACCTCTGCCTAAATTAGCAAAGGGGAAAACTTCATCAACACTTGGCTAGTAGGCTGGTAGACAGCAACCACCCAGGGAGATGCTACTATCCCATTACATAAGTGAGAAGCTGACACTCTCGATCACGACAATAGTCCGTCTAGGAAAGATCACAGACCTTCAGCCCAGTAATAACAAACCATAATGTAAAACCTCTCACCATGTTTTGATAATTTTTCATAGTTTCTTATTATGCGCTTTTAAAATGGAAGAGTATAACATCTCAAGCAAAGAATGGACTCATCTCTGATATAAGGTGAGAGTGCTGAGGGACGCAGTATGTAGTGAGCTTAAGTCATAACTAAAGACAGAAAAAAATTGGGAATTAGATCAGGAATATTATCGTCTTGGTTCCCGTCTCAAGTTATAAGACTTCTGTAAGAAAATACAATCTGCTTAACGTATTTCTCGCTTAACAAGCCGTTCGTTTAGTCCCTTCCTGTAACATAATCGTGCAATAAATGATAAATGCATTAATGATAAGTGGGGGATACCTTGACGCTGGTGAAGGGCTCTTGATCAGAGGAAAAGGAGCAATTCTTCCGTTTCTCAGAAAAAACATGAATACCTCCTTTTCCACAAGCACAGTGTGCCCCTTTGAGTTTAGCACTTCCAATGAATGTAATAGCAATACCTACCTTTGTAACCTTTGCCTTTCTTCTTGAAGAGAACGATGATGAGAACGACAACGATGAGGAAGACGATGCCGCCTATGATGGCTACCAAGGTCGTCACTAGAGGCAAGCTCTCTGTGGGGAGGACGTGGGTGTGGTTAGTACTCTGTGGGGAGGACGTGGGTGTGGTTAGTACTCTGTGGGGGATGAAGGTGTGGTTGTTGTGGGGGGATGGAGGTGTGGTTAGTATTCTACGTGATGGCAGAAATATATATATCTTTCTTCTTTCAACACACCGGCCGTATCCCACCGAGGCAGGGTGGCCCAAAAAGAAAAACAAAAGTTTCTATTTTTAAATTTAGTAATTTATACAGGAGAAGGGGTTACTAGCCCCTTGCTCCCGGCATTTTAGTCGCCTCTTACAACACGCATGGCTTATGGAGGAAGAATTCTGTTCCACTTCCCCATGGAGATAAGAGGAAATAAACAAGAATAAGAACTAGAAAGAAAATAGAAGAAAACCCAGAGGGGTGTGTATATATATGCTTGTACATGTATGTGTAGTGTGACCTAAGTGTAAGTAGAAGTAGCAAGACGTACCTGAAATCTTGCATGTTTATGAGACAGAAAAGACACCAGCAATCCTACCATCATGTAAAACAATTACAGGTTTTCGTTGTACACTCACTTGGCAGGCCCGGTAGTACCTCCCTGGCGGTTGCTGTCTACCAACCTACTACCTAGGATATATATATATATATATAATATATATATATAATATATATATATATATATATATATAAATATATATATATATATAAATATCATATTAATGCAACTAGTAACAAGTGGGTTTTAAACAGTTAACATTGCGGCTGGCCGGGGATCGAAGCCGTGTTATTTTAGCCCACCTGTTGGGAAGTCAAAATTCAAAACGTACATTAACTACAGAAGTAAATAATATCAATTAACCAAGAATACCAGTCCCAAAAATAGTCAAAAGGGCTTCCAAGTGTATATAAGAGACTGAGAGAGAAATATGATAATTATTAACTGATAATCACTTAAATCTGCGAGGAAAATCTCCTTATATCCGGAAATAAAAAAAAAATGTAGCAATAAGAAAAAATAAAGAAATGTTTACTTACAGGAAAAATTATTTCCTTCTAACATGGATTTTTTTATCCAAATATAAACAATTTCTTTCATGTTACTGAATATTTAACTATTAAAATTATATTAAAATTACATTATCAACAGTTGGAAATTAGTCGCTTTTATTATGCGCTAAAAATTTTAATTTTCTAGTGAGCGTTTTGTTTTTATCCTCAGAATTTCCGATATAAAAACGTCAATAAAAGTAGAATGTCTTTGTTTTCTCTAGTAATTTTCTGAATTTGTGTCTTTTTATATAAAATTCCCAAAACTACATATATACATGTCATACATTACATAAAATACAACAAATCTTATTGTATTACCATTGAACTTAAAATAATAACATTTGACTTCTAGATCAAAGGTCCGGAATTTTGCTTTAAGTATAAAGCCACTGTCCAAAGGCCCTTCTGACTGTGTATTGGCAATGGTTATCCTGCGAGTGTGTATACATATATATACAGTACACAAGCGCTGCCTAAGTAAACTTAACGCCATTACAACTGAGAACGCTTTCTTGTATCTTAAAACATATCCATGTTCCATTGTGTTCCATTGTGTTCCATTGTGTTATGTTACTCTAAATCCAGAGGCTGGGAGACTGAAGACAATCTTGTATTGAAACCATCTGGTTTGACCAGCTGATTCTACGAGGCAGCTGTCACTGAGAGACTACGAGGCAGCTGTCACTGAGAGACTACGAGGCAGCTGTCACTGAGAGACTACGAGGCAGCTGTCACTGAGAGACTACGAGGCAGCTGTCACTGAGAGACTATGAGGCAGCTGTCACTGAGAGACTACGAGGCAGCTGTCACTGAGAGACTATGAGGCAGCTGTCACTGAGAGACTACGAGGCAGCTGTCACTGAGAGACTATGAGGCAGCTGTCACTGAGAGACTACGAGGCAGCTGTCACTGAGAGACTACGAGGCAGCTGTCACTGAGAGACTACGAGGCAGCTGTCACTGAGAGACTACGAGGCACCCTGTCACGAGAGACTACGAGGCAGCTGTCATGAGAGACTAGAGGAAAGCTGTCACGAGAAGACTACGAGGCAGCTGTCACTGAGAGACTATGAGGCAGCTGTCACTGAGACTACGAGGCAGCTGTCACTGAGAGACTATGAGGCAGCTGTCACTGAGACTACGAGGCAGCTGTCACTGAGAGACTACGAGGCAGCTGTCACTGAGAGACTACGAGGCAGCTGTCACTGAAGACTACGGGGCCCAGCTGTCACTAGAGACTATGAGGCAGCTATCACTGAGAGACTACGAGGCAGCTGTCACTGAGAGACTATAAGGCAGCTGTCACTGAGACTACGAGGCAGCTGTCACTGAGAGACTACGAGGCAGATGTCACTGAAGACTATAGGCAGCTGTCACTGAGAGACTACGAGGCAGCTGTCACGAGAGACTACGAGCGCTGTCACTAAAGAGGCTATGAGGCAGCGTCATTTGAGAGACTATGAGGCAGCTGTCACTGAGAGATTACGAGGCAGCTGTCACTGAGAGACTACGAGGCAGCTGTCACTGAGACTATGAGGCAGCTGTCACTGAGACTACGAGGCAGCTGTCACTGAGAGACTACGAGGCAGCGTCACTGAGAGACTACGAGGCAGCTGTCACTGAGAGACTACGGGGCAGCTGTCACTGAGAATACGAGGCAGCTTCACTGAGAGATTACGAGTGCTGTCACGAGAGACTACGAGGCAGCGTCACTGAGGACTAGAGCAGCTGTCACTGAGACTACGATGGCAGCTGTCACTGAGAGACTATGAGGCAGCTGTCACTGAGACTACGAGGCACCTGTCACTGAGAGACTATGAGGCAGCTGTCACTGAGACTACGAGGCACCTGTCACTGAGAGACTATGAGGCAGCTGTCACTAAGAGATTACGAGGCAGCTGTCACTGAGAGACTACGAGGCAGCTGTCACTGAGAGACTATGAGGCAGCTGTCACTGAGAGACTACGAGGCAGCTGTCACTGAGACACTACGAGGCAGCTGCCACTGAGAGACTACGAGGCAGTTGCCACTGAAAGACTACGAGGCAGCTGTCACTGAGAGACAGCTGCCTCTGAATTACGATAAAGATAAATAAGGGAAAACATCCTCACGTCTAAAGGTCTGGCTACTAATTTACCAACTGAGAGATGAACTGGGGACTACACGGGTTCAACACCTTTTATTAATAACATACTAGCGAGGAAGAGCTAAATGTCCCAGAGGAAACTATATCCTGCAAAGCACCAGATTAATTACTTTTTGACTGACCTCTGAATGCAATTTTAATGGCCATTTCCTTGTCCAAGTGGCATACTGTGTGAGTTATTACATGACTTTAGACATTTACAAGGATCACTGGAAAAACACATTCAGTATACGCAAAAAAAAAATATAAATTCAAGAACATTGATCTCTTATGTGAACGAATCATATTATAATTACATAAGTCACATAGGAATCACATAAGAATCACATAGAAATAACATAATCACATTCTGCCCAAAATGCCTGGGCATGACACTGGTTATCTTTGAACTTAGCAAATCAAAATTGTAATTACAATTGTAAACTTTAAAAAGAAATAAATTTTGCTTTACTTTACATACGTCACATATGAATCACATAATAATCACATAAAACTCACATAGGAATCGCATAAGAATCATATAGGAATCACACGAGAATCACATAGGAATCGCTTAAGAATCACATAGGAATCACATGAGAATCACATAAGAATGACATGAGAATTACATATGAATCGCATGAGAATCACATAGTAATCACATGAGAATCACATAAGAATCACATGAGAGTCACATAGTAATCGCATAAAAATCACATAGTAATCACATAGGAATCACATGAGAATCACATAAGAATCGCAGAAGAATCACATAGTAATCACATATGAATCACATGAGAATCACATAAGAATCACATGAGAATCACATAGGAATCGCATAAAAATCACATAGTAATCACATGAGAATCACATAAGAGTCGCAGAAATCACATAGTAATCACATAGGAATCACATGAGAATCACATAAGAATCGCAGAAGAATCACATAGTAATCACATATGAATCACATGAGAATCACATAAGAATCGCAGAAGAATCACATAGTAATCACATATGAATCACATGAGAATCACATAAGAATCACATGAGAATCACATAGGAATCGCATAAAAATCACATAGGAATCGCATAAGAATCACATAGGAATCATTGATAGTTGCTGGAGGAACCTGCCTTTGCCCTTCCTGCGATCAACTATGAGTGCTACTCATTAGAGGGGCTTTATGGCACTTACTGGCTTAGTGTATAATAATACAGTATTGTTTTTGAATGTATTCTGTGAACTTTAAAACCCTTGCATATTTTAGGAGCATTTTTAAATACAGTAAAGGAAAAATACATTGTGAAATAATGTACAGATTTAAGTGTTATGTATTTTTTAAAGTCTAGCCCCGTCACTCTAGCCCCGTCACTCTAGCCCCGTCACTCTAGCCCCGTCACTCTAGCCTCGTCACTCTAGCCCCGTCACTCTAGCCCCGTCACTCTAGCCCCGTCACTCTAGCCCCGTCACTCTAGCCCCGTCACTCTAGCCCCGTCACTCTAGCCCCGTCACTCTAGCCCCGTCACTCTAGCCCCGTCACTCTAGCCCCGTCACTCTAGCCTCGTCACTCTAGCCCCGTCACTCTAGCCTCGTCACTCTAGCCCCGTCACTCTAGCCCCGTCACTCTAGCCCCGTCACTCTAGCCCCGTCACTCTAGCCCCGTCACTCTAGCCTCGTCACTCTAGCCCCGTCACTCTAGCCTCGTCACTCTAGCTCCGTCCTCTACCCCGTCACTCTAGCCCCGTCACTCTAGCCCCGTCACTCTAGCCCCGTCACTCTAGCCCCGTCACTCTAGCCCCGTCACTCTAGCCCCGTCACTCTAGCCCCGTCACTCTAGCCCCGTCACTCTAGCCCGTCACTCTAGCTCCGTCACTCTAGCCCCGTCACTCTAGCCCCGTCACTCTAGCCCCGTCACTCTAGCCCCGTCACTCTAGCCCCGTCACTCTAGCCCGTCACTCTAGCCCCGTCACTCTAGCCCCGTCACTCTAGCCCCGTCACTCTAGCCCCGTCACTCTAGCCCGTCACTCTAGCCCGTCACTCTAGCCCCGTCACTCTAGCCCCGTCACTCTAGCCCCGTCACTCTAGCCCGTCACTCTAGCCCCGTCACTCTAGCCCCGTCACTCTAGCCCCGTCACTCTAGCCCGTCACTCTAGCCCCGTCACTCTAGCCCCGTCACTCTAGCCCCGTCACTCTAGCCCCGTCACTCTAGCCCCGTCACTCTAGCCCGTCACTCTAGCCCCGTCACTCTAGCCCGTCACTCTAGCCCCGTCACTCTAGCCCCGTCACTCTAGCCCCGTCACTCTAGCCCCGTCACTCTAGCCCCGTCACTCTAGCCCCGTCACTCTAGCCTCGTCACTCTAGCCCCGTCACTCTAGCCCCGTCACTCTAGCCCCGTCACTCTAGCAACGTCACTCTAGCCCCGTCACTCTAGCCTCGTCACTCTAGCCCCGTCACTCTAGCCCCGTCACTCTAGCCCCGTCACTCTAGCCCCGTCACTCTAGCCCCGTCACTCTAGCCCCGTCACTCTAGCCTCGTCACTCTAGCCTCGTCACTCTAGCCCCGTCACTCTAGCCCCGTCACTCTAGCCCCGTCACTCTAGCCCCGTCACTCTAGCCTCGTCACTCTAGCCCCGTCACTCTAGCCCCGTCACCCTAGCCCCGTCACTCTAGCCCCGTCACTCTAGCCTCGTCACTCTAGCCCCGTCACTCTAGCCCCGTCACTCTAGCCCCGTCACTCTAGCCCCGTCACTCTAGCCCCGTCACTCTAGCCCCGTCACTATAGCCCCGTCACTCTAGCCCCGTCACTCTAGCCTCGTCACTCTAGCCCCGTCACTCTAGCCCCGTCACTCTAGCCCCGTCACTCTAGCCCCGTCACTCTAGCCCCGTCACTCTAGCCTCGTCACTCTAGCCTCGTCACTCTAGCCCCGTCACTCTAGCCCCGTCACTCTAGCCCCGTCACTCTAGCCCCGTCACTCTAGCCCCGTCACTCTAGCCCCGTCACTCTAGCCCCGTCACTCTAGCCCCGTCACTCTAGCCCCGTCACTCTAGCCCCGTCACTCTAGCCCCGTCACTCTAGCCCCGTCACTCTAACCCCGTCACTCTAGCCCCGTCACTCTAGCCCCGTCACTCTAGCCCCGTCACTCTAGCCTCGTCACTCTAGCCCCGTCACTCTAGCCCCGTCACCTTACACCGTCACCATTTCCCGTAGCCACCACTTGCTTTCTATTGTCGCTGTGTGGATCACTAACACTGGAGATGTCACAGTGGTATATCAGGACACTTAAAAAACTGGAAAGAACTCCAAGTGATCTCCCGAGTTTCCTCCTGTAATAATATAATAATAATAATAATAATAATAATAATAATAATAATATAATCTTTATTTCTACAAGTACATGTACAAGGTATACAGTCCTAGATGACATCACTTACATACTACTGTAGAGAAAGCCGGTTGCTATGCTGAGCATTTCGGGCAAATTATGTCAGTTTTGTCCCAGGATGCGACCCACACCAGTCGACTAACACCCAGGTACCCAATTTTACTGATTGGTGAGCGTGGACAACCGGTGTAAGGAAACACGCCCAATGTTTCTACCCTCGTCGAGAATCGAACCCGGACCCTCAGCGTGTGAAGTGACAGCTTTTGCCACCAGGCCACAGGCCACCGTCTGTATCAGTTTACGAGAATCAAAGTTACGTTATCAGGAATTCCTGTCTCTGGCTATGTTATCTTTTTCTTACACAAATCAATTTTAGAGGCTAATAGCGGTTATCCTACCTCAACTCATTTCAACCCCCCACCTCGAATGTGACCCACAACAGACGGCTAACACCCAGGTACCTACTTACTGCTAGGTGAACAGGGAAAGCAGGTTGGTTTGGTTTGGAAAGGTTCATCAGGAAACAGGACAAGTGTTTCCTGACGCGGGTGTTAGTCAGATGATGACCCGCAGCTGGTGTAAGCAATCATGCCCAGCACCTCCACCCTTGAACTACTAACTTGAACTACGTCCATTTGCAAGTGAGACGTACATTGTAAGTGCTCGTTATGTGCGCATTGATATTTCTCATTCATGAGTTTCAGACCGCGCTCAGCTTCAGGATACCACAGCCATTGTTTATTTAGACATGTGGTACTGGGTCTACTCTTTGTGTCTTTATTTTTCGCTCTCTTTATCTGTTCCTTCTAAACAATTTTTTATTTTCTTGTCACTTACATCACTTCTATTAAGTTATTTTAATGTTCAATGTTCATTAAAATCACTTAAAATTGCTGGTAACCTGTCCACACTGCCAGTGTGACCCACAGTGTGGCACACAGTGTGGCACACAGTGTGGCATTTTTTTTCACTTCCGACATATATAATACCCTAACACTCGCTCTAATTAACCTCCTCTCTCTAACTTTTGTTTAAGAAACATTAACCAATAACGCCAACCATAATTTCCCCCTTAACTCGCCCCCTACCCTACACATACTCCCACCCCTTCCACACGGCTTCCCACAGTGCTGTATGACCCATGTGGGTTTAGTGCATAAAACAATTATTTTGTTTACTCTTTGATTTGCTAAAAGAATCAACAACGAAATATGTTTATTAATATTTATACACCAGTGACAACTGTTAATATCAACGTTTTATACAATGCGCCACTGTCCTTTTTTTACTTATAATAATAATAATAATAATAATAATAATAATAATAATAATAATAATAGTGGTAGTAGTAGTAGTGGTATTAGTAGTAGTAGTAATAATAATGTGGTAGTAGTAGTATAAGTAACATTAATATTAATAGTAGTGGCTCTAGTAGTAGTAGTAAAAATAATAATAATAATAATAATAATATAATAATAATAATAATAATATTATTATTATTATTATTATTATTATTATTATTATTATTATTATTATTATTATTATTATGATGATGATTATTTTCGTTATGGCCTGGTGTACCGTCAAGGATGTCATGATGAGTGGTTGCCTAAAACGATCAAGGGACATTATATCTAATTGGATATATCCTCATACAAGTGAGGATTGGAAAGCTCCTAAAGTAATGTCATTAACGTAGAGAAATCCAAGAAGTGGGTTGGTGATTCCCTTCATGACAGACTATCATCACGAGTTTGTCTCCTAGTCTTGTGGCCCCCGGTAAGAGGTCTGGAGATGTTGATAAATTAGACACATGTGCAACTCTTGGGTATCTTTATTGAGGAAACGTTTCGCCACACAGTGGCTTCATCAGTCCATACATAGGAGAAACTTGAAGAACAGGAGGAGAATGAGGTAATCAGTCCCTCAACCTTGGGTCGATGTGTTCAGTCCATCAATCTTGAGTAGAATACGGCAGATGAGCGGAGAAGCAGCTTATAAACCGTATGGCAGGAGAGGTGCAGCAGTCATAGGTAGTGTCACATTTGTTCAATGTGGAAGTAGGTTGTGCCCAAGAATTAGGCAAGCGAAGAATTCCTAAGTATTAAGATCCCAAGAAGTTGCAGTGTCTGACAAGTTTGTAGATGAATGGTTCAGAGAACCGACATGTTGATAAATTAGACACATGTGCAACTCTTGGGTATCTTTATTGAGGAAACGTTTCGCCACACAGTGGCTTCATCAGTCCATACATAGGAGAAACTGATGAAGCCACTGTGTGGCGAAACGTTTCCTCAATAAAGATACCCAAGAGTTGCACATGTGTCTAATTTATCAACATGTCGGTTCTCTGAACCATTCATCTACAAAAAAGGTCTGGAGATACTGAGGGTCTGATCAGGTAATTAAGTCCATGACTGATAGACTCTGATTTCTTAGGCCCTTGATGCTGGTAAGTGACTTAGTGTCCATGGCGATGGAACTACACTCCTTTTCCTGAGATCGAACTTAATTACCTTACATTGCACATGTTTAGCACTTCCCACAATTAATATATAGTAATGACTCACGAAAACATAATAAGACTATTGCAAGCAAACCACGGGAAGAATGAGGTTTGAACCTATGATAAGTTAATCTTAACACTCCAGGCAAGAGAGTAAGCCTAGTGGCTTACGTACTGGCCTGGGTTCAAACCCCACCCGTTCCGTGGTGTAATATACAGTAACGTAATATAGCACCAAGGAAGATGTCGAGGTCTACATATAAGACGGTTTAATAAACGAGTAAGTACGTGAAAATGAAAGTGACTTACGTTGTCTCTTAAGCTCTATCTCAGACGTGTGGGACCCATAGCCATTCTTGGCTGTGCAATTGTAAACACCAAAGTCATCAGGCCGAGCATCGTAGATTATAAGGGTGTTCTTGACGCCACTCGGGGTAGTCTCCTGCAACACGTTGTACCTGGACTCGTCTGAAAGAGAAGCAATACTTTCTGAATGAGAAGTTTAGCCGGGTGACGAAGAAACGGAATTAATAGATTATACAACAAGGGGAGCAGGAGGATCACAGGCATCGACTTTGACAGTAAATTTGGGATATTAGTTATAGCTGCATTAATTATAGTATATTATTATTATCATCAAAACCAAATGCTAAACCCACAAGGGCCATAATTATAGTAAAACTTGCTGTCTTTCCCTTGCCAGTACTTAATTTTTTTTCTGTGTATAATTTAACACAAATTACTGTTTTTATTTAATTCCAATCTAAGAAATACAAGGAATGCTAAAAAATATAGCTTGCTATTAATTCTATTATTATTAAATCAAACTTTCTTACCCCCTCCTTGTTCTTACTCTCGTCTCACCTTACATTCCTAGTCACGCTTCTTACATAACACACAAAGAACGGTAAACGTAAAGACTAACAATAACTCAACAAACTCTAACTTTTCAGGTGTGTTTAATAGCGGTCGTGAGAGAGCTAATGAAAGTCATTCAACTGAGATCGGTTCAAGAGCTAGAGTACAACAAATAGGCAGTCATATGCATGTCTGTACACAGGTGCACGCAGCTTCCCTCCACCTTACTTAACCTACAATGCCAACCACAGCCTAAAGAAGATAAAAAAATCTGTAGTTCCGTGGATTCTGTGAGCTTATTGTTATCGATGATTATAACAATAATGTAAATAAACGGTTTTCTAAACCGTTTATTCCCATTATTATTATCATCATTACTGGTTTGCTAAACGTTTCCAGAATAAAGATAACAAAATGATCTCCAAGTGTCTCATATATCAATAATAATAACAATAATGAATTATTATTATTATTATTATTATTATTATTATTATTATTATTATTATTATTATTATTATTATTATTATTATAGTAAAATAAACCTTTAATACCCAACATTTCACTCAAAGGTGAAGTTTTCTAAGTCATCCCCTCAGAGGACGTCACTTGATGTCGTGAAGGGCTCTTGATGCGAGGAATTCTACTAATTCTCTCTGAGATCGAAGGTGATTGTCTTCTATTCCTCACACGCTATATGATCCCTATATATTTACCATTTTCCCCACAAATATGATCATAGTTTTGTATGTCAGGTGACCTTCAGGCAAAAAAAAATGTCTGATGTGCATTTGTTTTATCAAAGGTGAATTTGTATTACTCTGTTTGCATTAATTTGGCCTTGCAATCTATTCCCCCCCCCCCACCACCACTTACTGGGATCAATCTTGTGTCTATTCTTAGACCAGACGACCTCGCTGGGCCTCGGGATAGACTGGATGTTACACTCCACCTCTCCCGACTCGTGTCGCCCCTCCAAACCATAACCTGCTCCTCGATAGGGGTGACCTGAGGCGCACACTGCTTGACACTCTCATTGACCTCGAAACCTGTGAGACGAGAGAGTATATACGATGAAGAATGATACGTGTGGAACGATCATGTGGATGTATGCGAGAGAATACGAAGAATGATACTGGAACATGTCTGGGAATGTATGCAAGATGAATACAGAAAATGATACTGGAACGATTCAGTGGAATTGTTATGCTAGAGAATAACGTGAAGAATGATGTTACGTGGAAATCGATTGTTATGTGGAAATAGATGAGAGTAATAAGTGAAAATACACGTGGATCGATGCTGTGAATATCATGAATGATACAAAAAAGTTTGTAGAAGATGTAGAATATAATAATATTATTGATGAAGAACAAAAAGGCACAATACCGTGATTGGAACAATACACAAAATGTCGTCATAACTGGAACAATAAAAACCGAAAAAAAAATGTTATAACTGGAACAATACACGAAATGTCGTTATAACTGGAACAATACACGAAATGTCGTTATAACTGGAACAATACACGAAATGTCGTCATAACTGGAACAATACACGAAATGTCATCATAAGCTTCTTTCTCCTATGCGAAGGATGGAAAGTGAATGAAGTTTGAAGGGCGTGCGAAGGACACAGTACAGTGTTCATCATAGATGAAGGATGCAGGAGGGTTAAAGTGGGTAGGATGCTGCAAGTCTAGCGAAACTGCGTTACAGTTACAAAATTTTGGTGTCCGATGGTTAGGTGTGTGACCTGAGAGCAGTGCAGGCAGAGGCTGATACAAGCTAGCAAAGGCAAATCAAAGATTCAGAGTAAACCTTTTGATTTAGCAATGTTTTGTCAATTTTGGAACCTTACTGTATATCTGATAATGAGCCACAGTGGCACAAACGTCATTTAAATAAAAGGTTTTTCTCTACGACGTGGATTACCGTACCAGGTAAATTGAAAAAAATTATTGGCCCAGTTTCAAAACAAAAATAATTGGTCTACTGTCCAACATGGGGTTCAGTCTTAGCAAATGCTATTTACACACTTCCATGCATATTAGTCACAGCATTTTAATTATTATGGACAACAGAAGATCCAATGGGATGTGGAAAAGAATCCTTCCTCCGTAAGCCATGCGTGTCGTAAGAGGCAACTAAAATACCGGGAGCAAGGGGCTAGTAACCCCCTTCTCCAGTATAAATTTCTAAATATAAAACGAAAATCTTTCATTTTTCTTTTCAGGTCACCCTACCTCTGTGGGAGACGGCAGGTGTGTTTGCAAAAAAAAAGACAACAGGAAAGGTCATAAGGTATTTAAAATGGAGAAACTTACCTCAGGGAAGCCAGTGACACCAGCACGGCAGTGATAGATGCCAACAGTGTCAGGACTCACAGTCAGTGTCAACTTGGCACCCAGGTTGATCACCTGAAGTGGGGAAGAAGCACGGTTATCACACGTATTGTTTTTTATTTAACAAACTTGCCGTGATGCGAGTTAAATTTACAGTATTTGCTTTTTTTTGGGGGTTTTTGATCTCCTGATAAACCCTCTTACTCTGTGGGTTTAGCTTTTAATGAAGAAAATATTAATGATAATTCTTTATACTTACTATTGTTTGCCTCCCATTCTCTAGTATATTATTTACCTCTATTTTGAGTTAGTTCAACGAGCAATTTTTATTTTTCTGTCATTCATCTCACCAGCTTGACAATCTCTGTTTTTAATAAGTCCTCTCAACTGTTCTCCTCTCTCTCTCTCTCTCTCTCTCTCCTTCTCTCTCTCTCTCTCTCTCTCTCTCTCTCTCTCTCTCTCTCTCTCTCTTTCTCTCTCTCCTACATATTTTTATTTTCCTACTCTGACACTCTTCCCCGCCTTCCACTACATTCCATCCATTTTATTCCATCCAGTTTCATCTTGTTATTTCTGCAGCACCTCTCAACACCTCTCAACACCTCTCCTCCTACCCTCCTCGGACACTTCTTATACCTTGGCCCATTATTTTCCGTCTTACTCTCAACCCTCTTCCCCTTCTCACCTCACCTTCCTTGCCCTCCACACTCACCTTCCTGCCCTCCACACTCACCTTTGCCCTTGCCCTCCTACCCTCATCTCCTTCTGCCCTCCACACTCACCTTCTTGCCCTCCACACTCACCTTCCTGCCCTCCACACTCACCTTCCTGCCCTCCACACTCACCTTCTTGCCCTCCACACTCACCTTCCTGCCCTCCACACTCACCTTCCTGTCCTCACACACTCACCTTCCTGCCCTCACACACTCACCTTCTTGCCCTCCACACTCACCTTCCTGCCCTCCACACTCACCTTCTTGCCCTCCACACTCACCTTCCTGCCCTCCACACTCACCTTCCTGTCCCTCCACACTCACCCTTCCTGCCCTCCACACTCACCTTCCTGCACTCCACACTCACCTTCTTGCCCTCCACACTTCACCTTCCTGCCCTCCACGCTCACCTTCCTGCCCTCCACACTCACCTTCCTGCCCTCCACACTCACCTTCCTGCCCTCCACACTCACCGTCCTTGCCCTCCACACTCACCTTCCTGCCCTCCACACTCACCTTCCTGCCCTCCACACTCACCTTCCTGCCCTCCACACTCACCTTCCTGCCCTCACACACTCCACCTTCTTGCCCTCCACACTCACCTTCCTGCCCTCCACACTCACCTTCTGCCCTCCACACTCCTTCCTGCCCTCCACACTGCCCCCACCTCACTTCGCCCTCCACACTCACCTTCTTGCCCTCCACACTCACCTTCCTGCCTCTCACACCACCTCCCCATCCCTTCCTGCCCTCCACAACTCACCTTCCTGCCCTCCACACTCACCATTCTTGCCCTCCACACTCACCTTCCTGCCCTCCACACTCACCTTCCTGCCCTCCACACTCACCTTCCTGCCCTCCACACTCACCTTCCTGCCCTCCACACTCACTTCCTGCCCTCCACACTCACCTTCCTGCCCTCCACACTCACCTTCCTGCCCTTCACACTCACCTTCTGCACTCCACACTCACCTTCTTGCCCTCCACACTCACCTTCCTGCCCTCCACGCTCACCTTCCTGCCCTCCACACTCACCTTCCTGCCCTCCACACTCACCTTCCTGCCCTCCACACTCACCTTCCTGCCCTCCACACTCACCTTCTGCCCTCCACACTCACCTTCCTGCCCTCCACACTCACCTTCCTGCCTCCACACTCACCTTCCTGCCCTCCACACTCACCTTCCTGCCCTCCACACTCACCTTCCTGCCCTCCACACTCACCTTCCTGCCCTTCACACTCACTTCCTGCCCTCCACACTCACCTTCCTGCCCTCCACACTCACCTTCCTGCCCTCCACACTCACCTTCCTGCCCTTCACACTCACCTTCTTGCCCTCCACACTCACCTTCCTGCCCTCCACACTCACCTTCCTGCCCTCCACACTCACCTTCCTGCCCTCCCACACTCACCATTCCTGCCCTTCCACACTCACCTCCTGCCCTCCACACTCACCTTCCTGCCCTCCACACTCACCTTCCTGCCCTTCACACTCCCTTCCTTGCCCTACCTATGTAGCCAACAATCACCGAGGATTTCCATCAATATCACAAGTGAGAGTCACGGATTTACCCTCATCCTCGTCAATATCAGCAGGTTCCTTCTTGAATCTAGGAGCATCTAAGGGGACAGAGGAAACAGTTTATTGTCTCTGTCTGCATTTGTCTGTGTCTGTCTATTTCTGTTTTTCTCTCTCAGCTCACGTATTTCTTACCCTGTAAAACATTGCAACTCTCACAGTTCTAAGATTATTCATCTCTCTCATTCTCTCTCCCCTTTTGTTCTGCTTTCTCTCTCACCTCTCTCTCTCTCTTCTGTCTCACTGTCTCTAGCCACTCTCCACTCTCACCTCTTTAGATATTAACTAACTCTCATTACAAATTTAACACACCTATCGTATGTGATATGATACGAAAGGTACATTCAACTAGCAGTGGTTATCATAATGTCACTGTTGTATAGAGTTAGATGATTAAGACACATGTGCAACAGTTGGGTATCTTTATTTTTCAAACGTTTCGCCCACACAGTAGGCTTCTTCAGTCAGATACAGAGGCAGCAGATGAAGATGAAGTAATCAATCCATCAACCTTGGAGGCAGTGGCGGATGTACTGTGAATCTAGAAGATATTTAAGCTTGAGGACCCTAATCTAAAGATACTTAAGCTTGAGAGCCCCTAATCTAAAGATACTTAACCTTGAGAGCCCCTAATCTAAAGATACTTAAGCTTGAGGGCCCCTAATCTAAAGATACTTAAGCTTGAGGGCCCCTAATCTAAAGATACCTAAGCTTGAGGGCCCCTAATCTAAAGATACTTAAGCTTGAGGGCCCCTAATCTAAAGATACTTAAGCTTAAGGGCCCCTAATCTAAAGATACTTAAGCTTGAGGGCCCCTAATTTAAAGATACTTAAGCTTGAGGGCCCCTAATCTAAAGATACTTAAGCTTGAGGGCCCCTAATCTAGGAGGGGCCCCAGAAGCTATTTTAGTCCACATTGCTTAAACATTTTTGGTCTACTGTTTGAAAAGAGGTTGCGAAGGGGCCCCTCATAACAGTTCAAGCTTCAGGGCCCCAAAAATGTAGGCCCACCTTTGCTTGGAGATACTGTGTGGGCGCAAAATTTCAACAATAAAGATATCTAATTGTACATGAAAAAAAATGGCTATAACTATGACCATCATTTTTGAAGGGGTGGACTGGTAAGCCAGCGGAAGGCGTCGGTCAGATGACCAAAAGTTCCAACGGCGGGTCTAGACCGCGTCAGGATACACTTTATCCTGTTTCCTGACAAACCTTACCTAACCTTACCCAACTTTTCGATATTTTATACCATATTCAACACATGCGGGTATATACAAGCTTGTTAAAAGCAAAAGCCGGCAATAGCCTCACCAAGTTACAAAACAATCTTAAATCAGGATGATGTTTCTCTCTCTCTCTGTGAAGAGAGAAACATCATCCTGTCTTACATGAGGTGCGAAATACGTGTGCTTATTTCTTCTCTGTGACTGGTTAAAGCTCTGAATAGGTCGAAACGTTGACTCTAGGCTTGTTCTACAAGGTGTGTCTTTCAGGGTAGTTCTAGCTTTTATTGTGACACGTTTCGCTCTATGTAGAGCTCTATATACAGTGTCTATTATTGTTGGTAGGTCACTTATACGTAGCTAAAAACTGTTCCTCCAGAAAGAGTAAAGAAAAGTGTGTGCAAAAACGTGCTTTCATTTCGACAGTGTTTCGACGCGTTTAGATCTTTATTAAACAATAAGCATCTAAATTGCTCGAAATGTTTTCTCAGTAATAGCTTATTTTGTATAGTGTATTCACTCCACCCAGCTTCCCGTCCACCCAGCTGTCCCTCCACCCAGCTTCCCGTCCACCCAGCTGTCCCTCCACCCAGCTGTCCCTCCACCCAGCTGTCACTCCACCCAGCTGTCCCTCCACCCAGCTGTCCCTCCACCCAGCTGTCCCTCCACCCAGCTGTCACTCCACCCAGCTGTCCCTCCACCTAGCTGTCCCTCCACCCAACTGTCCCTCCACCCAGCTGTCCCTCCACCCAGCTGCCCCTCCACCCAGCTGTCCCTCCACCCAGCTGCCCCTCCACCCAGCTGTCCCTCCACCCAGCTGTCCCTCCACCCAGCTGTCCCTCCACCCAGCTGTCCCTCCACCCAGCTGTCCCTCCACCCAGCTGTCCCTCTAACCCAGCTGTCCCTCCACCCAGCTGTCCCTCCACCCAGCTGTCCCTCCACCCAGCTGTCACTCCACCCAGCTGTCACTTCACCCAGCTATCCCTCCACCCAGCTGTCCCTCCACCCAGCTGTCCCTCCACCCAGCTGTCCCTCCACCCACTGTCCCTCCACCCAGCTGTCCCTCCACCCAGCTGGTCCCTCCACCCAGCTGTCCTCTACCCAGCTGTCCCTCCACCCAGCTGTCCCTCCACCCAGCTGTCCCTCCACCAGCTGTCACTCCACCCAGCTGTCCCTCCACCCAGCTGTCCCTCCACCCAGCTGTCCCTCCACCCAGCTGTCACTCCACCCAGCTGTCACTCCACCCAGCTGTCACTCCACCCAGCTATCCCTCCACCCAGCTGTCCCTCCACCCAGCTGTCCCTTCACCCAGCTGTCCCTCCACCCAGCTGTCCGTCCACCCAGCTTCCCCTCCACCCAGCTGTCCCTCCACCCAGCTGTCCCTCCACCCAGCTGTCCCTCCACCCAAGCTGTCCCTCCACCCAGCTGTCACTCCACCCAGCTTCCCCTCTACCCAGCTTCCCCTCCACCCAGCTGTCCCTCCACCCAGCTGTCCTTCCACTCAGCTTCCCTCCACCCAGCTGTCCCTCCACCCAGCTGTCCCTCCACCCACTGTCCCTCCACCCAGCTGCCACTCCACCCAGCTTCCCCTCCACCCAGCTGTCCCTCCACCCAGCTGTCCCTCCACCCAGCTGTCCCTCCACCCAGCTGTCCCTCCACCCAGCTGTCCCTCCACCCAGCTGTCCCTCCACCCAGCTGTCCCTCCACCCAGCTGCCCCTCCATCCAGCTGTCCCTCCACCCAGCTGCCCCTCCACCCAGCTGTCCCTCCACCCAGCTGTCCCTCCACCCAGCTGTCCCTCCACCCAGCTGCCCCTCCACCCAGCTGCCCCTCCACCCAGCTGTCCCTCCACCCAGCTGCCCCTCCACCCAGCTGTCCCTTCACCCAGCTGTCCCTCCACCCAGCTGTCCCCTCCACCCAGCTGCCCCTCAACCCAGCTGTCCCTCCACCCAGCTGTCCCTCCACCCAGTTGTCCCTCCACCCAGCTGCCCCTCCACCCAGCTTCCCCTCCACCCACTGTCCCTCACCCAGCTGTCCCTCCACCCAGCTGTCCCTCCACCCAGCTGTCCCTCCACCCAGCTGTCCCTCCACCCAGCTGTCCCCTCCACCCAGCTGTCCCTCCACCCAGCTGTCCACTCCACCCAGCTTCCCCTCCACCCAGCTGTCCCTCCACCCAGCTGTCCCTCCACCCAGCTGCCCCTCCACCCAGCTGTCCCTCCACCCAGCTGTCACCCCACCCAGCTGTCACTCCACCCAGCTTCCCCTCCACCCAGCTGTCCCTCCACCCAGCTGTCCCTCCACCCAGCTGTCCCTCCACCCAGCTGTCCCTCCACCCAGCTGTCCCTCCACCCAGCTGTCCCTCCACCCAGCTGTCACTCCACCCAGCTTCCCCTCCACCCAGCTTCCCCTCCACCCAGCTGTCCCTCCACCCAGCTGTCCCTCCACCCAGCTGTCCCTCCACCCAGCTGTCCCTCCACCCAGCTGTCCCTCCACCCAGCTGCCCCTCCACCCAGCTGCCCCTCCACCACTCACACTCAACACTAAGGGTGTGCTCTGCCTTGGTGGTGCCTATGGAGTTAGAGACGAGACAGGCGACGCGAGCGCCGTTCGACTCCCGCTGGATTCTGTTCATGATGTACTGGGTAGTCTGGTCGCCCACTACACCGACGTCGTTCACCTCCCATCGGTACCTGAGCTCGGGTGGGTTGCCCTCTGCATTACACGTGAACTTCACCTGTAAAAAACGGAACTGTGAAAGTCGCGAGATGAAGACCTCGGGGGTAACCAGGTTTTTTTTTTTCCTGTCTTCTCTAATTGACACTCATGTGTCGCTGCTTATGCTGTTAAAAATTCATGACACGATTCTCGTTGTGGTAACCTCATGACATGTTCAAGGTGTGTGTGTGTGTGTGTGTGTGTGTGTGTGTGTGTGTGTGTGAGTGTGTGTGTGTTGTGTGTGTGTGTGTGTGTGTGTGTGTGTGTGTGTGTCTGTATGTCTGTCTGTGTCTGTGTGTGTGTGTCTGTGTCTGTGTGTGTCTGTGTACTCACCTAATTGTGGTTGCAGGGGTCGAGACTCAGCTCCTGGCCCAGCCTCTTCAATGAACGCTACTAGGTCCTCTCTCTCCCTGCTCCATGAGCTTTATCATACCTCGTCTTAAAGCTATGTATAGTTCCTGTGTGTGTGTGTGTGTGTGTGTGTGTGTGTGTGTGTGTGTGTGTGTGTGTGTGTGTGTGTGTGTGTGTGTGTGTGTGTGTGTGTGTGTGTGTATGTGTGTGTGTGTGTATGTGTATGAGAAGTTAGGTTACGAGAGGTTTCTAAGTTAGGTTTTGTCCAAAAATAATTTTAATATCTTTGAAAAACATACCTGTCAGTCTGAAAAAAGAATACATAATCATTCTTTAAATACGTTCATTTATGAAATAACTACCAAAGTATTTCACGTTTAGGAATTAACGAAGCCGAGGCTTCAGAGGTAATAATTATTTACCATTACGACAGTGATTGTAAACATATATGTACTGAGGGTTAGACTCTGGAATTGAACTTAGACTCGTAGACACTGGAATTGAACTTAGACTCGTAGACACTGGAATTGAACTTAGACTCGTAGACACTGGAATTGAACTTAGACTCGTAGACACTGGAAATGAACTTAAGACTCGTAGACACTGGAAATGAACTTAGACTCGTAGACACTGGAAATGAACTTAAGACTCGTAGACTGTAACCTGCTACTTTACAAACAAGTGGTAGGATGCTATGTACGACCTTCCAGGTATATCCCAGGTATACTCCAGGTATACTCCAGGTATACTCCAGTTATACTTCAGGTATACTTTAGAAAAAGGGGCCTTTCCCTCACTTCAGAAAAACTGAGCACGTCTCATCTAAACTCAACCATTCTCATTTGGTTGCATGGTAATGTGGGTTTAAATCTCTGGAAATCCCGTCCATGAACTCTATTTTCACAGTGCATGAAAAATCAAATTGGCAGGACTCACGAAATCGTAAGGACACGATTGCAAACACATCACGAAGCTGGTGGGGTTAGAACCCATGGCAAGTGAGTCGTAAAAGTCTAGGCCAGTGCGTAAACCACTGGGTCACAGGGCTACTGTAAGATTCATCTAACGTAGTTCTATCCTCACCAGTACCGTGGTTTGTAGATTTGCACAGTGTGGAGATTCATAAATGATCCACATGTTAGAGGGGAGCTCCACAAAGGTGCCTTGACGCCGGTAAGGGGTTCTTGAGGAAAGGCGCTGGATGTATTCTCCCCTTAAATCGAACCTGAATGCCTCTCCAACCACGGTGCAGGTGGGGCTCGAACTCGCGCCAAGTGAATCGTAAAACTCCAGGGCAGTGCGCAAACCACTGGGCCAGCTGGCTACAATAAGATTCATCCAGCTAGGGTACAAAAGATTTAAAAGATATATTGCTGGTATAAAGATGGCATATACAGAACATGAGGTTTGAGGGATACATTTCTAGTACACAATGTCACGTGTTTGTCACAGATTACAATGTTAAAATCTCATGCAGCTCCTCAGAGCCGGGACGCGTACGCAAGATACAGCAGGCATTACCCCTCTGGATCGCAGCGCTGAGTCGCCGGAATAGAAAACTAGCCGCCCTAGGATCCCTGGTTACCCTGATCAGTCTTTTGCCCAGTTCGGTATATTTATACCTACAATTTCGTGAGTCTGAATGCCTCTCATTCCCCAGGTGCTACATGACCCAAACAGGTTTATCGCTTCCCTCTGATTAAGTAAATTAAAAACAAAGTAAATCTTAGAAAACCACTCTGTTTATCTCGGATTATAATAAACCAAACAGAAAGGAAATGAGAAGAAAACGAGAAGACGTGTCTTCTCGTTTTCTTTCTCTTTTCTCTAATAGTTTACCTTAATGATAGTCTAGTATGGAGCGTAACACTGTCTAACATGTCTGCTCTGATGTGTGGATTAGTTGTGAGATGCTCCAGTTACGGTTTTGTGACGTATTCTTCACTGAATAGAGACTTGATGCACGATACCAGGTACCTGTGAGCCTGCTGTCATCACTGTTTTTACTAGTAGCAACATCATTGCCACCACTCACTCACTACACTATCACTTACCATCCTACTCCATCACTTACAACATACTACCACCATCACTTACAACATCACTACCACCATCACTTACAACATCACTACCACCATCACTTACAACATTACTACCACCATCACTTACAACATTACTACCACCATCACTTACAACATCACTACCACCATCACTTGCAACATTACTACCACCATCACTTACAACATTACTACCACCATCACTTACATCACTACCACCATCACTTACAACATCACTACCACTATCACTTACAACATCACTACCACCATCACTTACAACATTACTACCGCCATCACTTACATCACTACCACCACCACTTACATCACTACCACCATCACTCACATCATCGTTCTCCTTAATCTTGGCAGAGTCGACGGAAATCTTGACTTCCGGCGGGTACTTGACCAACATAACCAGGGTTCTGATGATAGGTACTTCGAGTGATTTGTGCGACACCTGGCAGGAGATGTTGGCTTCATGATGCTTCCTCTCTGGCGTCAGATCCAGACGACTCTTCACAGCCACCAGGATGCTGTCATGTTGTGGCAGCTTGGTCGTGTTTACCTGGCTCCCTGGTACACTATCCTTGCCATCCATAAGCCACTTAATCTGCCCATACAATTGTGAATTATCATACATCTTTTACATTAGTTCATAGATTATTTTATATTATACCCCCCCCCCCTCTTAATTTTTAACATTTCACATATTTTTGATCAATCATATGAAGAATACAATAAACTGAAACTGTAAAGGAATTTTTTGGGATCAAAATATTTTTAGTGGTAAGCAGAAATTAGTCCAGTAAATCGTAAAGGCCTTAATCAAAGCAATTTCTTGATATAAGAAAACGAACCAATCTTTCCCTATTTTAGAGCCATATTTCCCATGTGCTGAACAACGCCTATTTTAGCGCTTCCCCTATCTTATATAAGGCTTACGTTATTTAATATTACATTGGTAATATTATATGGTTTTACTCTTGCACACGTGAATGTGTTTAAAACCTATCATTCCCCCTATAAGGCTAGGTCATTCCTATCCTGATATCTCAGGCTAAATTAAATAGTTACTGACATACCTGTGATCACCTGTGTCTTAACTTTCCTGCGCTGTCTTGTACCTGTTTTCCCCTATCGAGCACTCCATAAACATGAAAACCTATCCCAAATTTAATATTGTCTTTATCTCTCTCTCTTTCATTCCTCTGGTCCTCTCTCTTCATCTCTCTCTCTCTCTCTCTCTCTCCTCTCTCTCTCTCTCTCTCTCTCTCTCTCTCTCCCACTCACTTACCGTGGAGGCAGGTGTACTGAGTCCAGCCTCACAGGTGATGCGCACAGGTGAGCCGGCTGTCGTCTCCATAGGTGAGAGTTTGTCCAGGTACACCTGTGCACACACAAAATATATAGTTATTTTGTGTGTACACACTTCATACAGTGTGTACACTTGTGTACACATTGGCTAACAGACTACAGCAGTGGTATGCGTAGAAATTTATGTAAACTAATTATCCCCATGAAAAGAATATGTACAGTGAGTGTACTACCAGAGAATAGTTGCAAAATGCACCACTGTTCTACCGCCCCTTTGGGTTTATCGCTGTCAATAAAATAATAAAAATAAACAGATAAATAAATAAAGAACAGAAGACTAAAGGGGGACACCAACGAAGCAGTAGCTGTCTTGATGGGGAAGCCCCATCAAGACCAAGTGGATCTTGACCGGAGGAATTAAATCTATTGCCCCGTTAATTGGACTGAACCTGGGTACCTCACGACCCCCAGACGAGCCTCGTCCAGGGTCGGGCTGCGAGAGTAGGAAAACTTTCGAAAGCCTTCAGAGGTAACCTCCCTTCCCTCCCTCTATTTGGCCTCCTCATTGGCAATATTTTTCCCCTTGTAATTCAGCTCCTAGGCAGAGGGAAAAGAACCATTATTGGTCCCGTTCTGAAGTGGAATTCGGTGCTGGTATTGTCGTGCAACGAGAATTAGAGTATCTGGGGAGGTGAATGCCTCCAGTGACCCTCAGGATGACCTCTTGTAATCTTGGATGACGTAAGTATTACCAGAGGCTACCTTAAGATCCTGGGGTGGCAGACGAAGGGCTACTACTCCAGATGCTTCTTATTGCCCACCAATGTTACTGGTTGAGTCTAGCTTAGCCAATGCAGGAGATGCCATCCTGATGTGTCGAGTTTCCTCGTATACCGAGTGCACCTGCCACTCTCCCCTTTCATTTTTTTCTAAGAAAATAAGAAGAGGAAAAAGAAGCAGCCAAACTTGAATACCTGACTGGCCTGACCCCCAGCACGCCCATGGACCCTCCTCAGTTCCCGGAATCGCTTTCGGGTAATCGTCCGCACCCTAGACTGAAGGTCAATATACTCCATTTTCTTGCCCAAGACCTTAGCATGACCTGCACTACAAGACCGGCTTCTCCTTCGACTCACTGATGACTCACAAATCGTCGACACAACAGGGGACAGAGTGGCTTCCAGCCATCAGATAAATAACACCGATAGACAAATGATGAAATCAACGTTGAACACACAAGAACAAACAGTACGAAACCTACTTCCTGGAAACCTTCATCATGAACGAGATTCTTTTCCTTACAAGCAACGAGATTCTTTTCCTTACAAGCAACAGATCCAGAAAGCTGCCTGAATGACCATATACTTAGGCAGGAACTCATAGCCCATGTTGACCCAGACATAAACTTCCAGACTGTCATAGAGGACACGTGCATCATCAGAGTCAGTAATACCAACCAAGACAGTGCTTTAATACGGTTACCCACCATCAGTAATACCTCGGTAACACTTCAACGACGTTGCACCTATGTCCGCCCGGCAGGACAGTGAAGCTCCTGACTATTTTTTTCTAAATTAACATTCGATAACTGTTCAGTATACATTGCTGACTAATGGTTATCAGACGCTGTGTGATCATCTACGAATTCAGCGCTTTATCCGTTAAAATTATCAATAACTGTTAACTTACTTGATCATCCGAGTCCTTAGGAGGGAAGTGGACTGTGAGTTTGGCACTGGCGGACTTGAGGTGCCTCTCCCCTTCAGCGCCTCCCACCTGGCACTGATATACTGCGTCATCCTCCACCAACACCGGCTGGATGTGTAGGTTGTACACACCTGAAGAGTAGAACCACATAGTAGGTTGTCTAATTTTGATATTTGTAAATAATTAAACTCTCTTACCACTGTAAAATTTTAAAGGTTATACAGAGCAAGACCAACGATAAGATTAACTAATAATAAAAACTATTAACATTAAAACACAACAAAAATAAATACTGTCATACCAAGTTAAAATAACCAGAATCAGCTAAAAACTCTATTAAAATTTTAATATCAAAAGACTTATTCAAAAGTTCTGCAGGGTCCCTACAGACACCTCGGTAAATATAAAGAACGGAGTGGCTTTAAACGTGACTAAACTTAAAATATAGGAATCACTTTGTGCATAGATTAATGTTCAGCTTCGAGGAAGCATCACCCTCGTCATTCTTTACCTTAGTGGGCCAAACAGATTCAAGAAGAAATATTACGAAAATAAGAACTGCTAAATAATACACAGGTGAAAAAAGCTCGATTTTAATCTTAATATTCAGTTTCTTAATCGTCTCACCATCACTGTCGTCCACCTCCATCCTGTATCTACTGAACCCTTGAAGTTCCTCGTCTGTGCCAAGACCGAAGCCGTCCTTGGTCCACTGCACCGTCCCTCTCCTGTCCGCCACCTTGCACGACAGTATTACACTCTCTCCGTGTTTTGCCGTCGTATTCTCCGGCTCCTGAATGAATCTCTGTTCTCCATAAACAACGGTGAGCAGAAAAGAAACACAAACTAGACACAGAATCTCTGCCCACTTTGCCTCGAAGTGAACCAGATTCATTTTGAACACAGAACACGAAGCTTCGCGATACTTAAGTTGACAATGGGATTTAATTCACGAATTCAGGAATTTGATTTCGATTTCATCTTTGTCCACTTGGTGCGTCTTGTTACATGAATATCTGAAAAGAAATCAAATTAATAGATTTATATTGGTCATATAATTATTACTAAATAGCCAATTTCAGATTTAGTACATATTTCTGAACTATAATAATAGTTATTGATATTATTACATTCATGGGTATGTAAACTGCTTCCGGTTTAGAATGTGTATAGTATTTATACTATACACATTTATAAATGCCAAGTTTAGCTACAAACATTCGTAATTTCAAAAAATAATCATGTAATTTTCTGTATAGAGAATACAAAGTCACAATACTGTGACTGGAACAATACACAAATGTGCCACATGTAAGAGACTGTAACTTCTGATGACGTTCCGGTCCGACTTAGAGAATTGACTTGTCACCGAAACGTTGATATAAGCTTCGATCTGCTACATGGGGGTTATATATGTAATCTTCTGTATGTTTCAGTAATTGTAAACACCGTTTGTGGGTTACATCAAGTATTGAGAGAGTCTGGCGGTACAGTACAAATTATACATGAATAATATTATGTGAGATGCGCTGGGTTAGTTCACTAAGACAAAAGGTGAGGCAACCAGAGGAGAATCTACTGTGTGAACTTCAAGAGGACAGATAGGAAGGACTCTCCAGCCCGGTTCGAGTTCCGTGAGGGCTGGGCTATAGCCAGGTTGGCCCCCCAGGTAATCACGACCTGCCACCTCCCAATCCCACGCATCGGCACCAGAGTGCGACTTCAATTATTCATTCGACGAGAGGAATTATGCAGTCACTCCAGAGACCTTCTTCGGTCACCGTCCGAACAAGACCCAAAGTCACGACTGCCTCCCTGATAAATATAATAACAAAACGAGAATCATTCGTGTCCAGCTACAATGCACTCTTAGAAATCCAAGGTACACTTAAAGGAACTCTTACTGTTGCTTGATGACTTGACCAATGAGAGCCGAGAACTCAATTTTCTCATGAAAAGTTTAAAATTTAGATTCCCATAATAAACAAAGTGAAGAATTAGACACATGTGCAACATCTCGGTATCTTTGTTGTAAACATTACGAAAGCCATCCAGTGGCTTTATCAGTACAAATTCAAGGAGGGACTGATTAACTCATCTTTTGTATATAGTTCTACTACCTTCTAATTTTGTCCTTGAATGTGTACAGATAAAGCCACTGGATGGAGAAACGTCTACAGTATTATTATTATTATTATAATCAAGGGGAAGCGCTAAACCCGGAGGATTATACAGCGCCTGGGTGGGGGGATGTGGAAGGCATTCAGGCTTAATTCGGGGAACTGGAGCACAGATCCAATTCCCTAAATCAAGAGCCCCTCACCAACATCAAGGAACCTTCCTTGAGGGGGAACGTCTACAGTAAAGATACCCAGATATTGCACATGTGTCTAATTCTTCATCTTGTTGGTATTGTATACCATACATGTATAAACAACGTGACGGGAATGTAATCTATTAAGAAGATGTGAAATACATCCACTATATGGGACCAATGAAGGAAGGTGTTTGGTGGTGGCGCTGAGAGCACTGAGTGTAAGGGACTCACCATCAGTCACCAGTAGGGAGTGTTAGAGAGGTTTTAGCGTGTGTAGCTAAACATTCTGAAAGACGGATAAACACTGTAGACATTGATGCTCTCACTGGCGGCCTCCTGTGAGTCGAGGAGTCAAGAAATAAGTCTATTTAGGTGCAGGTACACATGAGTACAATATATTAGGTACAAGGACACAAGTGCAACTAATTTGACATTTTTTGTGGCAACTTTCACTCTGCAGGAGCTTTGTCAAACCTTTACAAACAATACATAGACACAGATACAGAGTGAGGTGCACCTCACTCTGTATCTATATAAACCCCACTTGTTCCGAGGTTTGGCTGAGTGTTGCTAGCACCAGCCAGGAGGCTGGACGACCAGGAGGCTGGGCGACCAGGAGGTTGGACGACCAGGAGGCTGGACGACCAGGAGGCTGAACGACCAGGAGGCTGAACGACCAGGAGGCCTGGTCGTCCGCCGGGTCGCAGGGAGACAAACCTCAAAATTGACTACAGCTGTGGCTCCTGCGACCATTGCTTAATTAATTAGCAGTTGGATATGCTGAATGTTGAAGACAGAGTAAAACAACTGAAGATAAATCATGTTTATAAAATTGCTCACAAACAGTGTCCAGAATATCTTGCTGTCAATTTTGTCAAGGTTGGGAGCCAAAGCAATCATAGTACTAGGGGGAGAGAGCACAACTTTGTAGTACCCACGTATGGCCAGGCTTCAAATACCTTTTATTGTACAGCAATAAAGGAATGGAACAGACTGCCCGCACATGTCAAAGCCAGTCATAGCATGAACCAGGTCAAGAAGACTGCCAAAAGGTGTCTGATGAATGTAGCTACAGAAAGGGAGGGGAATGATTTTCTATTTTTTAGCTAACATACGTGTAAATTTTACCTTATTCCTAGTAATGACCCTCGTATTGTAGATAGTCTTAATGACCCTCGTGTAGTAGATAGTCTTTTTAGTATGATAATAAAATGTTATCTTCATTATAGAATAATAAGAAAATATTATAACCTTTATATTATAATAATAAGGTAAAAGGACCCCAATGGAAATAAGTCACTCTGTCTGACTTTTTTGGGTTATCCTAGGTTCTCTACACATATGCTGCTATGTATGATAATTCTATGTAACTGTATTTGTGTATACCTGAATAAACTTACTTACTCTGTGCTGTGATAGAGATTAATGAGAGTGCAACATCTGGGTTGTGGACAGTTGTGGAGATGTCCTCTGAACCAAGATTCCATGATGTTGCAGTGTCTAACAAGTTGTACATGTATGGTATACAATACCATAATATTACTATTGTTATTATTAAAATTATTGTTATTATTACTGCTGTCAAAATTTTGGGTATCCTCTTGCTTAACTTTGTCCCAGAGCGTTGTATCAAGAAAAGCCTTTATTCAACAATAGACCAATTCGATGTATTTTCTTTTTTTTTTTTACTCTTGCGCTTGGGGAAAAACGACCACTTATACTTTACAAAAAATGTCTGAATCTCGTCCCGTGTCTCTTTTGGCAACGTTCTCTCCTCACACACTGTGTCCGTGGTTCAAACCGCGGTATGAGTGGAAACGATGGGCATGTTTCCTTACACCTGGTGTCCTTGTTCACCTAGCAGCAAGTAGGTACCTGGGTGTTAATCACTTTATACCTGCTGTCCCTGTTCACCTAGCAGTAAGTAGGTACCTGGGTGTTAGTCACTTTACACCTGCTGTCTCTGTTCACTGTTCACCGAGCAGTAAGTACCTGGATGTTAGTCACTTTACACCAGATGTCCCTGTTCACCTAGCAGTAAGTAGGTACCTGGGTATTAGTATACTGGTGTAGGTCACATCCTGGGGGACAAGATTAAAAGACCACAATGGAAATCAGACAGACAGTCCATCGATGACACACTGACTTTCTTGGGTTATCCTGGGTTAAAATCCTAGGTTAAAATCCTAGGTTAAGATCCTAGGTTAAAATCCAAGGTTAAAATTACAACAAATCTTATCTAATCTGCTCTTATCCTTTCAAAGATAGCGAGAGAGGCGGTAAGAAGAAATTATATAGTTAGTCATCCTATTATTTTCGTTTTCTGTGAGTTCTAGTTTTACCAAAATTTAGGGTCAACTACTTTAAACGTCTCTTTTTATCCCTGTAGCAGATTGCATTCCGTTTAAAAGAAGAAATTTGCATTTTCATAGCTTTGACTCTAAGAAAAAGTAACTATGTGTTACTCTTCAAAAAAAATGATATTAAAAGCCGACTGTGTTTTGAGGCATCACTGCAATTTTTTCGTTTTTTGTTTCTAAGTTATTAGAGAAAATTTAATATAATTTAGGACTAACTTCTTTAAACATCTCGCTTTATAACTATCATTGGTCGAATTTATTTAGTAGTAGAAGTAGTAGTAGCAATAGTAATAGTAGTAGTATTAGTAGTAAAATGTCAAGAACACAGATCACAGTGCCTATGAGCCTGAAGGTAAACAGGTTCGATGCGAGGAAAGAGAGAGCAGTTATAATTCCATGGATCAATATTTTTCCGGCTGTATGCAGGCATCTTCCTACAAGAGGACAATCCGAGGAATCGGCAATAGGTCTTTTGTATGTTTAGTCTGAGCTGGTCTTAGACCAGGCTTAGTAAATATAATATTTTTGGAAATATAATATTATATTTTGGAAATATGATATTAAAGAAATAAAAGCTATTGAGATAAAGAAAAGGAAATATAATTTTATGCTGCCTTTATTCAATTGTAAGATTTATGTGTCATCCTGCCAGAGTGCAAAACATTTAACAGGGTTCCACTGCGCACTCGTATGAGAGGACGGTACTATATAAGGACAAATTTTTCAAAGCTTTGTACTTACATACGTGTTCACACTGCAGCTGCCATCATAGCATCCTGCAAGATACAAAATTTGCAGTTTATATCCTCTATAATGGAATCACAGTAACTTACCTAAATGTTGTGTTGTACAATGCATAAGGATGGAGGAGCACTGCAGTAGGTCTACTGGGCCATGTAGTACGTGAATGGTATACAATACTGACACATGTCTAATTTTCTACTGGACCATGTTGATAGTGACACAGTGTGAAGGTTACGGTATTTTTTGTAACGTTACTTCATAAATAAACAAGAGAAAGTTGGGCTATATAGTGGTTGAGGCGAAGTGCGTGAGGTGTAGAGAGGTCAGGTCAGCGATAACAGTATCAGTTTTAGGTACGAATAATTTTGCCAAACCTTCAGAGAAGGTAAATCGCCCTGAGTGTTTTGACTCTTTGACCGCGGGTTCTCTCCCCGCCCGTGGTATTGTTTATTTGCAATCTTGTCATTACGATTTCGTGAGTCATCAGATGGTTACCAGTGTTACGAGGTAGTGTGCAGGCGTTACTTGTGTCGTCCCTCTGACTTTCGTGTTTCCCTTCCTAGAAGTCTTATGACGTAGGACTTCACACAGACGCCGCCGCCAGCTATGTTGGTGTCTGCAGTGGTGTTCACTGCTTTTGTGTCGTAAACCAGGCCTCTGATGACTCTGGAGGCTATGTTTGAGGCTGCTGTTGCTGGTTTTGGCTAGAGTTATCTTATTTATCTGATCTGGTGTTACACATAATCATCTCTGATCCCTTCGCGGGGGGTGATGAAGTGTCTCGGGAAGCGTTGTGCCTTAAGAACCTTTCAACAACCTTGAAAACCTTTCAACAACCTTGAAAACCTTTCAACAACCTTGAAAACCTTTCAACAACCTTGAAAACCTTGCAACAACCTTGAAAACGTTGCAGACGTTTTCACAGTCTTCTTTGAGCAACGTAGAGGAAGAAATCCTGTGGGCACTCAAGAACCCCAAATTATGATCTCTGTTGTTCTGTTGTGATGGGACAGGAAGACCAAGTCAATTTTATTATTGAATTCTCGGTAAACCATGAAATCACATCTATCAGTTTTCTATAGATCACGACGTCCAGGAAAGAAATCCATCCGCCATGTTCTTCCTCCATGGTAAATATGATGCAGGGTACAACCGAGTCTGTTGTTGAGTATATCAGCGGTATTCAGAGATCTTTGAGTGAGGTCCAAGACGTCAACGACGTATCTTAGCCATATCACGTTTCTCTAGATAAAGATTTTTAGTCTCTCCTACTTCAGATGCTCCATTTACAAGCTGGTGGATGAAATCACAATGAAAGCGTGATTGTAAATATGTAAAAATACTACGATGAACAGAGAAAATAAAATCTGAGCGATTTCATGTTCTTACCCTGTCAACCATGTCCTCTTTTTCTATTTTCTATTTTCACTGTGTTATTTTTACATACAATTTGGTAGCAATATTCTAAATGAGAGAGCACAAGTGATTTGATTCGTGTCACTATAAGCATTATTTCTCTCGTTTTAAAAGTTCTCATCAACAACCCTTTTTCTGGCCCTTTGAAGCATTTACCTAACATCATTATACCCAAGGATTTTCCATGTTCCTTCGGTTCTATGAGATAAACAGGCTGTATTATGTGTCCAATGTTTCTTTTGAGTTCTTCATTCTTTCCATATCCTAGCAGTTAGAATTTGTCACCAAAAAATGTCAGGTTATTTCACTGCCCGCTGGAAGACTGTTGATATCTGGTTACAATTTTTCCGTGTCGTCTACCGAGGCGACTATCATGGTTATTTGGTTATGGTACGCATAAGATGATAGGAAGCTATGGCTAGTGTTTAAATCTATATCGGCTATGAGGTTGAAAAATACTGAAGTCGCTAGGACACTGATTTCAGATACTGAACATTTATTTTCTTGACGTTAGACATTGCTTCACTTACTACTACTCTTTGCGGCTTCGTAAAAAAACTGAATATCCATTTTCCTACTTTTCCTCCTACAGAGTACCTACTGACCTTATTTTATGGACTATCACTCTATGATCGCTATTCCTAACCCTGTTACGAAGACTGATTAGTTCCTCAGGTCACTTACCGATCAGCTGGGCTGTGCTGAATATGGTAGACTGCTTTTGCTGGTACTAACAGCCAGAATGGCCAAGCTATCAACCTGAAGACCTGGTCTGGGACCGGGCCGTGGAAGTGACGAGCCCGGGAATCGACAATAGATAGATTACAAGTAGCTTTCAGTTTTACAAACAGAAAATAAATGTTTTCCTAATTCGTGCAGCTCACCGTACAAGCATGTAAACAGAGTCTCAACAAAGCTACGATACACAGAAAGAACAACAATACCGTGACTTGAACAATACACAAATAACCCGCACATAGGAGAGAGAAGCGCACCTTCGTGTGTTTGTGTTTAGGTCCAAGTCGGACGGAAACGTCGTCATAAGTTTCTTTCTCCTATCTACCTACCTACCTACCTACCTACCTACCTACCTGGAGGGTATTCCGGGGATCACGC